CAGCATTTCTGTGATTGCTGTAAGCAAGATTAAATTTCAGATATTTGTAGCTGGCCTTTTGCCTTTGACCATTTTTGTATATTTTATTTCCGTTGTAGTTTCAGTGGTTTTCCTAAATAATGATAATGTATGAATAAAGGCTGATTGATTTCAATAAATAAAAAATATGTTCTGTCCCCTTCCCTCTGCAGAGGGAGTATCTTTGCCTTATTGCATGTGTACTATTTTGGATATTCGTGAGTATGAGTTATGTGTGCAACACAAAAAAAGAAACTGTAAAATGAAGAGAAAAAAAAAGAAAGGCTGAGCTCAAAGGAATATAAAGACAGAATAAGAGAAGGTTTGTAAAAGACAGAAACTCCCGCAGGCAGTGGGACAGTGGGACACACACACGGACGATCTCAGCCGTCCCTCCTCTGTCTGTCTATTATTGATGTTGGGCACGCAGGGTTCCCACTCAGCCATCTGTTCTCAGCTCTCCCACTCCGTGCCCCTTTTGCTTCATGCCTACCACTTTGGCAGGCTGGCATAAGCAGAGCAATGCTGTCCTATCAAAGTGTGAATACTTCATAAATATCACACACTATCGGGGAGTTAGCTATTGGAGGAAGAGCCCAGAGAGAGAAATGAGAAAAAGCAACACAGTAATGTGATGAATTTTTCATTAATTGGGTTTCTTTGTTGGATGACTTCCAACACATGCATTGATTTGAGGTTGCAAGATATAATCATGCCACGACTGCATTGGATATAAACAGAATTGGCGGTGGGCTGTGTTTTGTGATGGACTATCAATAGTACTTATGTGCATGTTTTCAGATCTTAATCAAATCACAGCCCCGCCCTCCTACTGTTAATAGCATATGGCTGCAGGTTTGATCTGATTTGACTTGTAATTGATGACCATGCATATGTAGTCTAGCCTGGTTGCCAAGGGTAACGAGGTCCTGTAGGTCTTCTGATTGGCTGCAGGGTGGTCACATGAGGCTTCGCTTTGGCCCCAGCTGGGACAGAGGCCACATGTGGCGAGTCTGAAGATGTGTAAGGGTGGCGTGTGTTTGCAAACACTTGGCTTCGCCTCAGAGTTAATCCATAGACGCGATCCTTGTCCCTGCTCCCCCTCCTCTGCCCTGTCCTCCACATACACACACACACCTACACAGACACACACTCACAGATGAGCATACAAACTTCTTATGCAGTAAATGGATTGTAAATGTTGCATGTCAGTGTCATGCAGAAACTGCAAGCATAAGTGAGGCAGTCTGACTTAACATGTGTCTTCAATTACGTCTTCCTGACTGACAGAAAAGGTCAGATGTGGGTAAAGGGATGCCAGGGGGCTGTGGGTTGCTGATTAAGGTAAGATATTGGTTTGGGGCTTCAGAAATCTGAGCTATCACTCCATCGTGTGACTTGTCTTTTCCATATTCCTAGAGGGGTGAAAGAAGCTTTACTCTCTGGCTAGCTCCAGAGTTAAGACCCCCTGGGGAGTACGAGATGAGAGGGAAATTAATAATGTGTAGAGACTCAAAGGCTTTGACTGCACCAAAGGATCAGAAGAGGGTGAAGAGAGTGCATTAGAGGCAGAAAGGGAAACAGAAGTCTGGGCAGAGAGAGGAAAGCACCATCAGGCAGACAGGCCACCTTTGAGCAGAGGCTGGGAAGTAGGAAGAAGGGCATTATGAGTCAGCTTCAAAACAAATGATTTTTAAAGATCAGCAATTAAAGGGATACTCCTCTGAGTATCACTCACAGCCTCAAGGCTTGAAAGAGGGCCACTTCTAAATCACCTTTTGGTGGATTATTCCTTTAAGTTGTTAAATAAAGTCAAATACTACACCGTATTCACATCTACTTTGCATCTGCAGTGACATTGTAGCTCTACATAAATAGATAAACAAGAACTGTCATTTTATGGCACTTGTCACAATGTGAGAACAAATGTGTACTTCCTCAGCTGCCCTGAAAACAGATTGCAAATTAGCATTTCTTTCCAAAGCCAGAGAGAGTCACGAACCAGTGCTTCCAGTATTGAGACATGTTTTTCACATTAGGGCGTGTGAGTGTTACATGAACAAAAAAAAATGAGAACAAACTCCTGTTAATGTTGAGGAAACTCGAGATTTAATATTAATAGACGATATGCACGATAATGTGTGGAAGTCACGCCAGCGTGTGTTGGCACACTTATGTTTTGTCTCCCCAGGCCAAGCAGGCCCTGCTGTGACCTCTCTGGCTCAAAGCCAGCAGCTCCGCTATCCTTTGAACTTGGACAAAGCTGGATGAAACCAGCTGCGTTTAGCCGGATATGACCACAGCTGATCACACTACCCGGGCTTAAATATTAATCGCTATTAAATACTGAATTTAGCCACCTACTGTATCTTTCTGTGCAAGCAGTTGTTTCATTTGCAGTTTCTATTTTTATGTTTGCCCTTCTGATGTTTTGTGTTTAAATGAAACTGTCTGTCACCCTTCCACAAAGACAATGTGGGCTAACAAGACAAAGAAAATACAGCTAATAATGATTCTGGGGCAGTATGCCATATGTGATCCCTCCCTGCAGCATGGCCAGGTGGGCAGCATGCCACCCAGCAGCACAATGAGTTTATCCACAGTGATTTATTAAACACCCTAACCATTGGCTGAACAGAGCCATAGAGCTCAATTTGCCATCTATTATTCTCCGCTCTCCTCTCCCTCTCCTCTCCCTCTTTCTCTGTCTTTGTCTGTCTCTCTGTGTTTTGTGGTTTCTATCCGCACAGTGCAGTATGTTAAGGAGTGTATTGTGTATTGGTCGACTGGCCCCATATGGAATCCTTAAGCATGAACACGACTACCTATTACACGGGTCTTTAGCGACACTGAGAAATAACCCCCTATCATCCCATCAAGTGTGGAGGTTTCCCTCCATAGATGTAAATGAATGTGATGTGTACTCTCTACACTCTCTACAACTGAACAACTCGAAAGGTTTCGGTCAACGGTGCTTCAATGCAAGCACTCCGCAGTCCTAAAGTGGCGGCCTTCTCTTCATAACAGCCATTAGCAGCGGCTCATCTTGAATGTTAAATACCACATGCGCTCAGATGCTGCGTTGTGTGTTTAGACAAGAGGGAGTTTGATGAGGGGCTTTAGATGACACACCTGCCGAGGAAGAGGGGTTGAGATAACAATTTTCTCCTCCCTGTCAAGGAGACATCTGGCATTGCCACGGCGTTGCAAGCCCAAATACACCCAGGAGTGGGTAATGAGGCATAGGAGACAGGCTTTGTGTTTTGGTGTATGTGTGTGTTTGTGGGAGTGTGTGTGTGTGTGTGTGTTTTGGGGTGATGTTTTTCCTCATTTTCCTGAACTAGCCTCTGCAGACCCTGCAAGCTCGCCATCTGTAGCCATAAACTTGCGTGTCACTCATAAGCAGCGTTAAATAAGCTTGAATACAGCCCACGTTTGACCTTATTCTACTAAAAGACTGAAAAAGGAAAATTGAGAAGTATGGTGTTTAACAGACAAAACAAGATAGAAGGTAAAATAAGGACAATATGGGGATGGACAAGTGCGTGACTGTATGTGTGTGTGAGAGAGATCTAACCAGAGTGGTGCCCAGTACCACCAACCACCCATCCGTGACTGTGCTCCACATGTCTTTGGATATCACGATTAACATGGTGGCCTGCATTATGTTTACACACAGTCCTGTGTGGCGCTGCGTATGCCTGCCAGGGGTTGCTTAGAAATTCCCAAGTAATGTTCGATATACAACCTTGAAGAGCAGTGAATGCTGAACTGAAATGAACATATTTTTTAACTGGTGGTACATACGGTGTAGCTATGTGATGGCTCTTCCTCTGTGGAACCTATACTTTTTTCTTTTTTGTTTTACTTTTAGTCACTTATGTTGATGGTTGTTGACTGTTGTAGCTGACAATTAGTTTTTAGTTATTTTTATAGCTGATTGTTACGGAAGCCCTAAGTGACCATCCATTCAAATATTCATTTTACTCCGTTTTCCCAAGACAACGGGATTATTTCCTCGTGATCTCGAGATAACAAGCCATAACTTAATACAGGTGTCGGCCTGTGTTTTTCTTGAGGATAATTTCAGAGCACTTTACACTGTGACTGGTTAGCTTAGTTGGTTGAGCACAGGACTTGCAATCCAAGGATTGGAGGATCAGCTCCTGTTCTCAGTAACTTTTTTTTTTTCTTCTTTTGTGTGATTTTTATTATCCTCTTCAACAAAGTTGTTATGAAGAGATTCAGGGGAATCCAATCACAAATTTCCTGATAGCTATTTCGGAACTTTGAAATAGCCGTCGGGAAATTTGTGATGTGTACTGTTAAATGGATTCCCCTGAATGAGAAGCACAGGAATTTCCTCTGCCTGGGAATGATGGTGAAATGAAAAGTCCATAGGTTGATGGATGTGGAACAATAGCCAGTCTCATTATAAGAACTTTGTTGAAGAGGATAATGAAAAAGATAAAAAAGAAAATAAAGTTAGTCTTCCATGAGGATCAAACCCACAACTCTATTAGTATGAGTCCTGTGTTTTACCAACTGAGCTAACCAGTAACATCGATACTTGCACTGAAATCACCATTAAACCACTGTGTTAAACTACTGTTTTGTTATCTCAAGATCACGAGATTATTATCATGGGAAAACGGAATAAAAAAATGTTTGAATCGATAGCCGCTTAGGGCTTCCGTAGATTGTTGCCTTTGACTACTTATCTTTTTTTTTATTATGTATTACTGTTTTCATTATTTTGCTACTGTTTTGTTTGTTTTGTCTGATCCCCATTGGTTTCCCCAAAGTGTTTAGTAATCCTGGAATCTGCATTGAATCATGCAGTATCACAGAACAGTATTAATGCAACAAGAAAGGCACATGGAATACGCATTACAGATTAAGTGAATTTATCTTGCAAATAAAAGGGTTAACAGTAAAGAATTATATGTTTATCTGATAGTTTATCCCTTTGTTTCTTTCAGGTAATCTCCGCTCTGTCAAGGATCTCCCACCACAGCATTGCACAAATCAAAGGCATCAGGTATGAGTCTCATTTGTAACTCTAATTTATCATTTGAACAGCCAAAGCACTCAAGAGTATCGGTGTCAAATAAACCATTTGGATGAATGTATTCCACGTTTACTTGTAGGCCTCAATTGAGATTGAGGTGACTATTAACATCTGCTGCTCATTTAAAACTCAATTTACATTTTTAGGCAATTAGCTCCAGCTTTTACCCACTGTTATCTTGCAGTGCACAAAATAATCCAAAACACATTTCCATCTGTAACTCACACAGCAATGCAAAACACTATTTATGCAGACATTTAGTGGCACATCATAAGCACTTCTATCGGAGTCAGAATAGCACATTGTATGCAGGGGTAGTCATTTTTCACAGATAATGCTGAAACTGAGAAAATCCTTCACACTGCTTTATCAGGCCTGGAATGGGCTTATGATTTCTCTTCATTTGCTCACTCTGCTTCGAGCTTGGTGGCTCACCGGCGCCACATAAAAAGACATTTTATCCGTCTGAGTAATGAGTTGATGGAGCGCGCCCATTAGGAGCCTTGCCAAGAATTGAAGGAAGAAGAAAGAGAGAGAGGGGTGGGGAGAGTGACAAGAGAGAGAGCAGGTCCCTTGCCATTAATAAAGACAACACAACCTGCTGACGGCTGGCCAATTCACTGCCTGTCCACACTGACCACTTTAATGTGTGGTATCAAAATGAAGGCTCATTTAACCTCATTGACCTCACCCCCATGAGCAAAAGACTAAATTCCTTAGCTTAACTTTATGCTGAAGTTTTACCCTACATTGGAGCAAGCAGGAACCTCTGGGTGTGAAAAGTGAACTTAATGTGAAGTTCCTTAAACCTGCATTCTTCCTAATGGCCAACAGGTAGGAACTCCACTGTTTGCAAAAAGAAGTCCGATTGTAGATTGATACCCTTATTCTCACTTTGTTTATTACCTCAGTAAGCCTATTTCTAATGAGTTTATGGTCCCATTCGCTTGTTTCAAGTCTTCTTCAATACGGCATGATGCTCATATTGTAAATTATGGTCCCATTTGGAGTAAAATAGGTTTAGGGCATGGCCACTTTGTGATTGAAAAGTTGCTACTACAGTGACCTGTCAGGTGTAGCAGTGTGTATCCCTCTCCAGCTCCACCCATGGTTCGAAAAAATCAAGATGGCGAAAGCCAATATGCCAAACTCAAGGCTTCAAAAAGGTAGTCCACAAACCAACACAGTTTTACACAGTCTATGCTTTGGAGGCGGACAAGTGAAAACAAAACTGTCTCAGATGTATCGGACATCTGTAAGGAGTCTACAATACAAGTTTATGGAAGAAGAAGTAGAGTTAGAGTTTGATTTTCAGTGGCGTTGGCATTAGTGCATATTCAGTGTTAATATCTACAACAGTTTTTATGGTATTAGGCAAATGTTTCTTACTGCTTTCGCTACAGGATTTGCTGAAATGCACAGGGTTATATGACAAATGCATAATGTGGTCCGAAGCCATATACTGTATGATCTTTCAAAAACAAGGTGTTCTCTGACGGCAATTGGTCTTTCAAAAGGATCTTCTCCTTCACCTGCTTCTTTGTAATTCAGTTCAGAGCAAGGTCAGCTGCATTTAAAGACGAAGGACCTGTCAGATCTCTCCTGTCTCGCTTCAAAGCCCCTGTCAACTATGTACAGGCTTGACAACAGCTATGACTAATTTAAACTCAAACTTAACAGTAAGTATTGTACCATATAGATAGACTGTTCATGCCCTCCATGACTACTGTTCAAAATAAGTTTGCAACTGATTGGGATTTCTTGAACTGAGGAGCAAAATAAAAAACTTACGTGCCAATGCTTGGGGGTAACATGTTAAGTGCTTTAAAGTTAGTAAATTGGTAAAATCTTCAAATCAATTCTGAAAGTAATTGGTAACTTGAAGATAACCATACCATGTAATTTGGGATGGTTAGCCTGCATTTAATTTTGAAGTAATTTAGTGAAGGACAGCAAAAGCTCAAAGATAACAACTGTGACCCACTAGAGCTTTAAGTCTAGCAACGCCCCTGCTCCAGTGATTTAGTGTTGTATTTCTATAAAGTTGGGATGCTTGTGAGAAACGGATAGCAAGGAAACAGACAAAAGAAAAGTTTTCACCAGACAATAAGCCCATGGTCTCAAATAATTTAAGCACAGATACCACATCAGGCCAGATGATGTTAAGTTTTTAAATGACCGGAGAGTTCCTCACTGTGAAATCCCTGGCTAACATTGCCACAGGCATGTACATTGACGTTCTGTTGAAGCCCATTGATCTTGTCTGTGATGTCTGTTCACTATAATCAGGCATCTATAGTTCATGTCTCTGTCACTGTGTCAGCATTCCAGCCCCAGTTGTAAATGAAGGTTTTATTTTGCACGCTCCACTTCACATTCAGAGATACATTGAACACACAATCAAATATTCATAGGCACAGTACACACTATTCTCCGTCATCCTGTCATATCTATTCTGTCTTATGTCAACATCTCTATGTGGACTCCACAATCTTCTCTTATGTCCGAGGGTCCTTCTCTTTTTTCAGCATTTCAAAAATGTTTTCCCTACTAAAGTTGAAGTTTCAAAGCACTTTTAAACAGTGCTCTCATACTGTCACTCTAATGTAATACAGATGAGTCTAAGTTGAAAAATAAAAAGCGCGCTTATAATTGCTTCTCTGCTTGTGGGTTTTTTTTGCCCTCGGCTAAAAAAAAAAGCTTTGCCGTTATAAAAGTTATTAAACGAACTACCAAACATGAACAAAGACGTGCTGATTTTTACTCATTGAAGATTTGTTTCAGCCTGGATTTTAGTTTTAGTTTTTTAAAATAAAATCTGGGGAAAGAACATCTGACTTCACTCCAAATCAAAAACAAAGATGATCCCAGTTGTTTCTCTTTTTTTCCTAAAACCCTGAATCCTAAATGTGCCAAGGCTTCATATTCCCATCTTTGTGTGTGTCATGGCAGATGACCTTGTGTTTCTGACAGCTTATCTACAGCATAAGCCTGCGTCATCCTCTCTTCTGTTAGACAACCCCCCCCACTCCCTTCCTACTGCTTATCTTTACTGTCCTCAGCTTACCCCGCTCTAACCTTCAACCCGCTCTCGCTTCACTGTCAAGACAGCATCAACACAGAGAGTTCATGAGAAGGAAATTTGTTCAGGGGTTTGGATAATGATAGTCTTTTAAAATCCTTCAATTGCATTCATAACTGCCATACGTTATGACATATATACATCCCTTGAATGTAATTTTTTTTTCTATAATGAGACTTTATTTGTTAGACTTGTGTGTGCTGTTTTAATGTGACTTGTGTAATGGCCCTGAATGACTCTTCAAAATTTGTTTTACTTAATTATGACTAAGAATGGAGCCAACTAGTTCTTCTTTGTTATGTTTTACTCAATTACCTTGCTGAAAGTAAAAAAACATGAATTGCAAACAATTAAAACAATTTACTTTCTGTCATAGAAATTGGACATATAGAGGAGATTGTAGAGAAAACATTGTGACAATACATTTGCAGTCTCAGAAGTACCCAAAAACAGCATGGCCTATCAAAAGAGAAACAATAAGAATTAATAATATAATATAAATATAAATAAGAAAAAGGAAAAAGAAAATGAATTAAAAAGAAAAACACCCATACTTAGAGCTAAGACTTACTTAATTACTTAAATAATTGGGGCTGTGAGTAACCATTATTTTGATTATTGATTAATCAGCTGACATTTGTATTATTTAGTCTATGAAAAAACCCAAGGTGATGTTTTCAAATTGCTTTTTTTGTCTGACCAAAGATATACATTTTGCAGTGATATAAAACAGGAAAAAACAACAAATCCTCACATTTTATAAGCTGGAGCCAGAGGCTGTTTGGCATTTCCACTTGAAATCTGACCCAAGCGATTAATTGCTGAATACAGGAGCTTCCAGTTAATGCTGTGTTGCTCAATGAACTGATTAATCAACTTATCGTTTTGGCCCAACTTGAAGTCTGTACTGGATGAAAAACCATTTGAAAGGTACTTCTTCCATGTAAAAAAAAATATAAGAATTTGATCATTTTAACATTTATAACATTTACAATTATTTGGACTGACGCTTTATAGATGTACTTTTGTTTTTGCATAGTTTTTATTTTGAAGAGGAGGAGGTTGTTGTGCACAGCATGAGCTGGACAAGCAGCCACAGTGTCAACAATCACTGTTTGCAGTTTTCTTCCCTCCCTCCGTTTCCTCATCCAGTAGGCAAAGCTCTGCCCCCTCATGCTACTGAATTACATCACGCACATTAGTATGCAGACAGTCATCACATTGCACTCCTCATTTTTCAGTCATGCCGTTTGAATGCATCGCGTTTGCTGATTTCACATGTAAGTGTTGTGAAAACAACTCGCATACGCAAAGAAGAAGGCTCTTAATATTATGTGATTTTGCACACACACACCCTCCCCAGGCAACAGCAGCTTTGAGATGAAACTGCATAGCCAGATTTAAAGGAGGAATGGGAGGGTTTATGGACCGGTGTGGTACAGTAAGTGGCAAAGTGCACTAGCTTTCTCGAGCTCCAGCGATTTATCGACCTCTACAGAAATAAAGCCGTGTCTTGGGACATGAAACTGCTTCCAACTCTGGCCGTTTGAGCTGTGTTCACACCTAATGACTACACTGTTGTTCTGCTGTTTGACAACAGTTGATCAATGGGACGACTCAGTGTCCAGCACCCATATGCCAACAATTCCCTTCACACTGGAATTGGCTTTAAGGACAGTGAAGAAGAAATTAGACACAATGAAAATTTCCAAGAAAAGGCAGGACAGTAAGGAGGGAAAGAGAGGTTGTTTGAAGACTGGTTGGTTGTTTGAGTTGGGTCGAAGAAAGACTAGGACTTGAAAAAGGGGCCCGCATTTATTATATTTATGAAGTGCAAAAGAGACATTTTTCTTTTTTTGGTTGTGTTATTGTTAACCTTTATTTAACAAAGAAAGCATAATTTTCATTTGGGCCCTGGCCATTTATGGTTAAACAAATCAAACAACAAAAGAGACAATAACACAAATGAATGCCTCCAATCCCTCATGCCCCTCTCAAAGCCCCTCACACCCTCACGGCAGAGCAAAAACACAAGTAATAATATTTCCTGCATATCCATAATTTCCTAATAACATAGATGGATTCCTGATTTTCTATGTATGTGTGCCTGTAGATACATTTCAATGTACTATACTTACTTTCAATTTAGTGGAATTAATTAACTAAAAGTGTACAAATTTAACACTCTCTCTATTTCTTTTGTCTAATTAGTACTATATTGAAATTATGGACTTAATGCAAACAACACAAACTAAACTAAAACTAAACACAAACACTACAAGTAAACCAACAAAACACTAAAAAGTTGAGTAAACATGGTGAGAGAGATACAGAAAAAACAGTAAAAGAGAGAAAGATAAGGAAGAAGAAAGATGAGAAAAATAAAAATAATACAAAGATGGGGGCGGAGGTTATCAGAGGTGTACAAGATAAACAAATACACTTTGTATTCTCTGCATAGATAACTGATTACTTAGAAATACATTTGCAATTACCACAACATCCACTCTGGTTTACCACACAGCTCTTAGCCCGACAACAGCATGAAGTAACACGCCTGCAGGAAAGAAACTGTGTTGATTTGCCAAGAGACGGCTCATCATTGGAGTTCTGATGAAATTATAAACACAGTTCAATTACACCTGGTTGTATCGTTTAAGCAAAATGAAAACGGAAGCATCGGACAGTGCTTGGTGCCGCAAAACAACACTGAGGTGATAGATATGAGCGTACAGCTCTACAAACTACTATGTAATTAAATTTAGCCCTGCGGGACTCCATTAATAACTTATAATATAATGCACATTTCATTGGAGGGGCCCATCACAAGTGGGTTTGTTATTACACTCTGGAGGACACACCTTCTGCGCTGCGTTCCTGTTCATAACAGTTGCGTGAGAAAGTAACATAAATCAGATGAGGCAGTTTGTTAATTTTTTATTTCTTAAAAATAATACATGTTATTTGCTAATTAGAAAACACAGAGATTGTGATGAAGTCAACCACTCAAACATGGAAACATTAACGGAGTTAATGAACCAGAGAAGACTGAGGAGGCTGAGTTAGCAGGATTGTTGCGCGCGCGTGTGTGTGTGTGTGTTGAGAGTGACGAGCTGACCTTTGAACATCTAGCTGAGCCAACTTTACTTGGATGGCTGACACACTTCACTTTCAGTGTGACCAGCGCTTTAATTACACACTAGCTAATTACTGGTGTTACACCGGAACGCACAGCTTGACACACAGACACACACACACAAACCTGCACATATACATAAATAAAATGATAAAATTAACTATTATTTTTATTTCTTTTTGACACACTGTCACTGGAATAAACAAACAAAACAAACCATACACTGACATCTGGCTTTTGTCTTAAGTGTGAAATTACAGTACAGTTGACATTAACCAGCATTCAGTTCTGGGTCAAATGATCCTGGAAGCTCCGATTGGCTATCATGTAAACATGACACCTGGATCGACATGGTAATTTTCGACTCATTCATCTGTGTCTATCTGCAGATGTCTATAAACGTCTCATCCATATGTTTATATAGCACGCTAGGCTAACAGTCTGTCGGCTGTAATTTTACATCTCTGCTGTGACGTCTTTCAAAGCACACAAGGGTGAAGAATTTAGTAGGGACATGACCCTACCAATATCCAGCGACTTTCTTTTATTGTGTTATATCTGGTTTGGAAATATGTACAGCTGAACGGAAGCCCTGGCTACCGGCTTGTCAGGACCTGCCCAGCTCTACTTCTGATTGGCTAGTGGTCCTTAAATACATTGTGCGCATGTGCCACACACAGCGTGAAAGAGGTGCTGCTGCAACGTGCAGTATGACAAAAATATTGTGTGTTTTCAAAAGTTAGACCAGACCGTATTTGGTTCACAAACAGTTGAAGAGTCCATTGCGTTTTTGAAGTTTTGAAAGATTATGTCTTCCGCTCTCATATGCCTCGCAGTGGTTTGGTCCGCTGACTACCTTTTTCAGACCCTCAGCAAATTTAAATGTAAAAATCTCCTGCTGGGAGATGTTTTTATTGTCCTCCCACCAACCGTGATGTAAAATATCCCCCCTTGTCTATACACAGAAACCAACGTAACATTGACATTGACCTCCATGCTGCTTCCTGCTGTTTACTAACCATGTTTTTGGTGTGGTCGTGATGTTGAACGTGACACATCAAAAAAAAATACAACAACTGAAATGTCTACTGGTAAAGTGAAAGCAGATTTAGCCACTTTTAAAAAAACCTGCACATTCGCACTAATGTTGGTGTAAAGTTAAGTTTATTAGTGTGATAGTTGGCCTTTACACACAAACAGATCACTTCTGTTGGCTCGTGGTGTTACAATAAAGTGTCACAGTCATCTGATCATTTCATGGGATTAAACGCAGTCAAAGGATTTCAAAGCCGAGCGCTTACAGAGAGTGGAGTGCTTTTATAAGCGCTTTGAATGTCTGGTCCCTGACACTGAACTGTCCACATCGTCTCCCAGCACAGCTTTCACAGTCAAGTACAAGTACAACACACATATAAATGTCCAATATTTTCTCCCTAGTTCTCTCTTCCCTGTCATAATATCTTTATATAATTATAACTTTCCCACACGGTAACATCCTTTCATTTATATTTTGGCTCCAAATCACCAGCATCCCCCTTCCACATATTTCAATGAAACTGTCATATTTACTTATAAACCACTTAGGTCCACTCAAGTCGAATTATTGTTAGTTAAAATTGCCAAGTTTGGGATATTGGAATTGTTGGTGAGGAGACAAAGGCTTGGAAGCACAGATATTTGTTGTTGAATAGCTAGCTATTCAACAACATTTTAAATGGGGTATGTCCCACTTTGCACAATGGGTGGTGGAGCTTGTTGAGTAAATTGATTTATTATACATTCCAAACATACTGAGGATTCCCAACATGTAACTGGTTTGGCTACTATGGTGACATTTCTGGTAAACAGAGGCTAAATAATGTTTTAGGTTCACTGTCTATTCTCCTTTTTTAACCAGTGACTTGGTGATCAACGATAGCCACATTGTTGTGTACTGAAACATATACTATATGTATATTTTCCAAACTTTTAGTTTATTTGTTTGATATATAGGGAAAAAACTCAAGAGCTTAATGTTTGCAGATTTTGTATTAAGGTATAGGTGCCACGGTATGAATTATTTAACAAAATACCTGAGTTGAAGCTGTGAATGGACTTTTTTTCTCCATTTTTTTTGCTTAAAATCATGAATTTACCCAACCTATATTTGGGACAGGTGTCTATATGGGACAGGGCTTTAATTCCTTTAACATGCTGGTAAATCTGAATGAATAATACTTTGGTGCTCATTCTTTCCTGATAATTAATTAAACGATTGAATTATGGAGAATCTAACCAATCTAACGATGTGTCCATATTGACAAAAGTTTAAACATAGCATAGAGCATAGAACTAGCTCCAGCAGATGACCCGGGGTGTTGCTGTGTTTTAACTGACTAGCCAAACACGTAGGTGCAGCTTTACCTTTCTCACTCTTTCTTAAATAATGGTAAAACCGTGTGTGTGTGTGTGTGTGTGTGTGTGTGTGTCCAGTGGCTCTAAGAAAACAAATCATGCTTTCAGTAGTTACATTATACAGAGGGAGTCAAGGTCAACCTGACATGGCTGTTTACCGTAGGAGAAACCACTGCTGACTGTTGCTTTGCGTGGGATTTATTACTCGAGGAGAGGATGGCAACAGCGGTATGGTGCTATCACAGTGAAAACAAACAAACAGGCCTACAACTTAACAACATACTCCTTAAACTGAAAAATGTCATAGCACTGAGAGAGAGACTCCGGTTTCATTTCAATAATGCAGGCCGTTTCAGGTTGATTAGCGCCGATCATGACCTCACTGATTTTAATGAGCCTCAATTGTGCACAGCATTAAGCTAATAGGTCATAATTTGTAGCAATCAGCTCTTGTGAAAAGAAAAAAAAAGAACATCATAAACACGGTTGGGCAATCTAGATCTAATCATGCACTTCAGAATAATGTTTGCAGAAAGCAGATATCTTTTAAAAGATTAGAAATAAATCCACCCTGTTTAATCAGCTAATTGATTAGTCATCCATTTTTATGCTCTGCCACTTTCCACAAGTATTGGGTTTATTGACACTGCGTGAGCAGGAATGAAAGATTTAAGAAGAGGATGGATAGGGGTGAATCATTCAGATTTTTGTACGATAGGCTGGTATGAACGCTTATATTTATGCTAATGTACCTTGCATTGTGTCTCATAAACATTATGTTTTAGAACATAAAGTGTACATATAAGTATGAAAGGTCACTTTTTCTGTGTAAGAGAAATTACAGCTCTAAACGCAGTCATTTTCAATATGTTATATTGCTCCATGTTGTCTCTGAGGGTCCTTGGTAGCTGCCCAAACCCCCTGAGATGATTTATAAGACACCTGGCCATCCGTCAGAGAAAAAAAAGAGAACACAAAGCTGTGTTTCCTTCTGAATTCCTGAGAAAGTTGGCTGTGGGAAGATACTGTTTTTTTTATCTGTCAGCAGCAGTGTGCTGATGTGTTTTGACAATCTTGTTTGTGACTGATGGGGTCCTCTATTGAATACATCCTGCTGTTGTGCTGCTGAAGTGATGGAGCTAAGAGTGACAACCTGGCAGATAGAACATGCAGTCTCCGACTGGTTATTTTTCTACCTGGGTCACTGTGCTGTGTGTAGTAATAAAGTATTCTGTACCCTCTCTCACTCTTTGTGTGTGTGTGTTGTTGTGTATGTACCAGGCCCTTTCCATCAGAGGACACAGCTCTGAATGAGGATGATGTGTACCGGAGCCTTGAAGAGCTGGCAGAGTAAGTATGCTTTTCAACAACACCCACACAAAACTGTTTTTGTCACTTAGGCAGACATTTTATTAACTTAAATTAATTCCCTAGAGACTTCTCATAATCTTTAAATTAAATCAAGCCTAAATTGAACCAGCTTTTTGTCATAAAATAGAAGGTGAGTCCCTACTATGCATACTGTTTATTGCATTTTAGTTAAAAGGCTCCTATCGTGATGAGATCATCTCAGAAAGTGTTTTTGAACTGGGAAAAAATGCAGAAAGAGCTTCTAATTATGCTGCAAATCATCATCCATTGAACTAATAGTATGTAAATATATATATATATATGTATATATGATAACAATATTTGCATTTTTGCATTATTTACATTTTATATCTGGTATATTTTTATAAAATGAATCAAAATAAAGACATATGAACACCTGATTATATAAAAAAGCAGATCTAGATACATAACAATCATTATACACACATACACTGTGTGATTGCCACTTCCTCCAATTTCCTCTAACTGCCTAATTACATAAGCGTGGAGCCCTCTGTCACTCCGACCGTTGCCATGGTGACACCAGCTCTGCTCTGGCTTCTGGTGTGGCTGCCTCTCTGCCTGCCTCGGTGGCTGGCTGCCTGGTTTGGTGTGTGTTAGGTGGGTGGGTGGGTTTTGCTGGGTGTGAAAGAGACCCGTAGGGTCTCGGAGTTGGCAGCGGTGACAGCAGCCGCTCAACTCAGATTAATGGAGAATAATTGGTTAACCGCTCTGAGACGGGTGTCATTCATCACAGAAAGTTAGGAGGGAGGCGAGCGGGATATAGAAAGGAGAGCATGCGGGCTGTAGATGTATGCCCGCTGAATACATGATTGCGGTGTTCTTTAGGGGATGAAGAATGTGCTCTTGATGGACAGCCAGGCAGGCTGATACTAGATTAGAGTGCAGCTTAGCTAAACATGTAGCCCTGCAAGCCTGGAACATACCTTGAAAACTGAACTGAAACTTGCACAAAAAGGGAGAGAGTATAAGAATTATTAAAAACATTTTGATTTAAAGATATTCCAGTGGCTATAGCGAGTGCACAGTATACATAGCAATAATTGTCACCAAGTCCACCAGTAAAGCAAGTGAGCATAAAAGTGAGGTGGGTATATGCTGTGATTTTTCTAGAGGCAATGGGTATACAAAATCTCCTCTTTCTGTAATGGGTTTTGGGCCCCTGTAACCTTCAGTGAGCCTGAAGCTTGAGTTCATCAGTTTCTTTCTGAAATGGCCAGTGGTGTTGTGACACCGGGCTCTTTGTGTAACCTGTAGGTGTAGAGGGCTAGGTCCTATTGAATTAATCATGACGCTCTGCAGCACGCCTGCTCTTGACCTTTTACAAAGAACATGGATGCATTTCATTGCATCAATGGACAGACGCATAATTGATTTATCAGCGGGGTCCTGCACCTAATGCAGCTGGATGCACTTAGCATATAGGCCACAGTAGCAATAACCCTGCTCTCAAAGACTTATTAATTAGCCTGAAATATTGATACATGCACAATTTACAATATGTGCATAACTGAACTGCAAGAGTGAGTGAGAGGACAATGATGATCTTGCCACAGTAATAATTTTTATGGATGTAGTACGACTCAGGAGCACCCAAGAGGAAGAAAATAATACAATGACAAGACATACGGTATCATAAAAGCCACCGCATGTAAGGAATAAAACAGCAATATTGTCACCAAAAATATTTAGTGTGAGAAAATAAGGCTGCATGGAAGCGTAAAAGAGCAATTTAAAAGAAAACAATAAAATTCAATAAAATGGCATCATTAAGTTCAGTGATAAGACGACAAAGGATACTAACTGCTATGGAAAGAAATCCATAAAAATTGATTTTTGAGGTGAGATTTAAAAACCAAGATCATGCCAGCAGACCAAACGTTAAATGGAAGACAGTTTCAGCAGCCCATGCAGTAAAAGATCGATCAACCCTTCATTTTAATCAGCCAAAAATCCTTAACTGGTGGACTCTCTGTCTCTGAGGATAGCTGGAAGTTCAGTCTTCACTAATGTAATGATGGTTTACACATTTGTTAGATATTTCTTCAAGGCTTTTGTGGGTGATATGGCTGTTGTCCATCCAGAAGCTTGGTCTTAAATATGCGCAAAAGGTTTAGCAGAGGTCACCTACAATACATGCATGCTTTCCTTATTTACAATATCCTGTCAGAAGAATTCATGTCAAGTGATGTGCATTGAGGCTGTAGGCTGTCAGTATGGGCTCACGTGGAAATGGCCACTGTAAATGAATGGTACTGAGATTCTATGATAGTTTCAGCTATGTGCATTTAGGAAGCATACTCCAATTTACATGCTGTTAGCCCATATGTGTTTGCTGGAGTGTCTGAGTCAGGTAGAGGCTAGTCTCTACCTAATTGAGGTCTCCCGGGTTAATGTGGTATACCTGATACCGTACTTCCTCCCTCTGGCTTTGTGATGCCAGGTCTTCACGTTGCTTAACACTGAGTCCTCCCTGCATGGAATGACTCCATCCTGAAGTTGACAAAGCATGAAATAGGGGTGGATCGGGTAGAGTTGCCAAGGGACTTTTTCCTCTGCGATAGGCACACATAGATTTCCATTCAGAAGCAAACCATCTCCCAAGCCCTTTGTGTCACTCTTTTGCAGTTTATTTTGCTCCATAATCCCTTGGGCAAGTTGATGTAAAAAGTCAATAGCTTGAAAATGGATGGAGCTTAGCTAAGGTATTATTCACTGCATGGTATTAAGTAACATACAAGTTAAGAAGAGTAGAAATTGATATTCACCACGGAGTACCTAACATAAACGGTTGTGTCTTTGGAACTAAAAATGATCGTCCTGTGCGTAGGGACCTAGGTTATATATCTTTTGATAGTTGTCTTTTAAAAGTACATTGTGTTTTTGTTGTCAGAGCTATACTTCTTGGTTGGCTAATAGTATGATTTTATATTTACAGAGTGCTGTAGTGTTCTCTCCGGCCTGTTATAGACCCATGGTCACCCTGTTGGCGATGGTGCCTAAGGATGGCAATGGCAGTGATGAAGACTTTTGTGAAATTAGGTATAGATACATATCCATGCTCCCAGAAGGTGCCTCTGATGATTTGCATTTTGATTCTGATGACCACACAACCTTAATATAGTACCACACTCAGGGAATACTGATCGTAAGGCTACATGGATAGTTTGATGTCCATTTCATCCACCATGAAATATGCAACCTTCAGTGTCCTTAGACGTTTACTTTTGTGGGGGTTTTTGTCTTTTAGTGTTTCTGTTTCAGTTTATCAGTCATAGGCTGATAGGCCTCTGCTCCCCACATAGTATAGCACAGCTCTGACAAAAACAACTTACTGTATACCCAATATCATTACATTATTTTAATAGACACTTGTAAGGAAGGCCAGCTTTGAGTGCAGATGCTTAGTTGCTCTGATATGGTGAATCATACTCCGTCACTCCTCTCCACTGATGTAACTCTGGGAGAAGAGGCTTGCTGGCCGATTGCGCACAATCCCACTGGACACCCTCTGGCTTCTCAGTGTGTAATCAGAGAGAAAATATGACCTAATTCATGACTGCTCAGGACTCTACTCCCACTCTCTGTCTCATTGATTGTGATGCATACAAATGCACAAGCACACAGGAACGCGCACACATATAAATGCATTTGAATGATTTATTAATTGTCCACTAAAGCCCAAGAGACAAAGGGACGTAAGTAGTAAAGTTGGTGTGCGACAGATTAACTACACTTGCAAGAAATATGTCCCTCTTTGCTCATGCTCTGTCTTTCTAATAACACACACACACGACCTCAAACTCAGAATCTAAAGAAGGGACAGACTTTTGATTTGTGTATATGAAGGCAATTTGAATCCCACGCAGCTAGAAGCACATTATTTTTTATTAACAGCAACCTTTATGTTTCTGTGAAACCCAGTACAATATGTAGATTACACGTTACTACATTGAGATCTTGATATGGGGTTCATTAGTTATTTGACTTCAGGATCAATGTGTATTGATAGTGGAAAGAGCCAGTCCATTAAGAAGTACATTAATGTCATCACCAATTAGAAATCTGGAGGAAGTTTCAGAATATAGAGACTCTATTGATCTAAATCAATCTAGAAATGTGAATGGGAAATAGGCATTCATTAGAAAATTGATGTCTCTTGCTAATATTTGGAAAAATCAATTTAGACAGTGCATTAAAAGAAAAGCAGAGAATTAGGAAATAGGTGGAATTGACATCCAACCTCAGGTTTAAATGGAGTTGCCAGTCAATAGGAATCTTTCCCCCAAACCTGTTGAGCCCTCAGCCACATCAGTGTAATGTAGCGATCAATCAGTAGTTATGGATGAAAAGCTTTACAAATGTCTTGAATTGACTCATTGGACCAAAGGAGCAGTGGGCAGTGACAAAATAACTAAGTGGGAAAAATGAAGGGGCCTAAATGTCATCACTAATCAATAGAGTATTTTCCTTCGATAAGCTATCATTAATGTCAGTACAAGTTAGGATCAATAAATATAGATGACGGACACCAGCACAAAATGTTTCTAATCAGTTTTTCTGTAGTCCATTTCAATATTTATTCTTAAAGTTTTTTTCTTATAATATGTCCTACTTTATAAAAAGACCCCACTCAGACTGTCCTCTTCTGTACTCTCTGTGGAGATCCACCTCCTCCAACATCTCCCCATCATATTCATATCACTTCACCAGACCTCCGTCACATAATACCATCCCTGAGGGATCAGAGCAAAATTAAGTGCAGCATCTACTTTCCGAATAAATGTCCTGCCATGCAGCACATTAGTCCCCGAGGAGAGTACTGTAGTCTCAAGGTTCAGAGAGGAGACACTGATGGGACAGCGTTGGCTGGTCGTTGTCCTCCCACACAGCCTTCTCAGGATTCAACGGGAGCCCCTTTTTCTTAATGAAGAAAGAAGAAGCACAGAGCTGAGAGTGAACCATACCACCTCAATTAAAAAAACTTCAAACAACCCCCGCATGACGACAAAGCTGAATATTTGATTGAGGGCAGTTCTATCTTTTTTTATCCCCTATTCACACAGTGAAAGGAGGAATATTTTAGCAGAGATGGCAGATGCAGAAGGTTGTATGTAGCTCCACCAGAGGCTCCATCACTTGCCAAGCTACCCTGGTCCTCCTTTTCTGAGCATGTGAAAGCTGTAGAGATTAGCATCATCTCTTATATTACAATATTTATTTATCAATAGTATTTATACTTTTATTTCCCTCGAATTTAAAAAAAAGCTGGCGGTGAAAGGGACAGGTGCATTCCAGCAAATTAGTTATTTAATTTTGGTCCATTGATTTGGCTTATTAGCATGATCAGAAGTCAAAACTGCAGCAGTTGTGATGTAGAACTCATGGAGGCAATTCAGGTACTTTAAAACCCATAGCCGCAATTTGTCACAAAACGCGTACTTCTCATATCTCAGTCAAATCAGGATATCATTATCTCCATCGTGAAGAAGGTTTAGAAATTATATAAAAAACTCCAGAACTTTAACATTGTTTATATAAATGGGTACATTGTAAACAGGAACTGCTAATAACTATTTCGGCATACTTATAATGGTGCCAATTTGTCAAAAGTAAAAAAAAAAGTTGTAGCCCATGGGGTAACTCACTGAATCCATGGGATTATACATGAGCATTATACTGGCGCCACCTCAGTACAGTTGAAGTGAATTGAATTTTGTTTAAACACGCAAGCAGTTGCCAAGCTTGAACCCTGGTCCTCCATTATTTAGCTGGCAAGTCTTACTACCTTTAGTTATTTACAGTATTTAATCATTTATTCCCTTTTTGGTGACTTAAATCTCCCTGTTTATTAACAACATCAATATGGGCCCAAAGCCAAAGCGTATTACTGCTGAGGCTCCTCCACCGCATCAATAAGTTTCCCGAACAATAATTGCTTTCACTGAACGGAGGGAGATACCGTGTGGCTCCCGGAGCATGAGGATCTTTCCCAGAAGACGCTCCTCTCCACAGTAACTGTCTGTGCTCTGCTGGCTGCTTGCCTAATTAAAGGTCAGTTAGCTAGCTGGGTGCCAAAAAAACAAAAACACATTAAAGGGAAATGCCACTCAATAGTTATGAGGTGGGAACATCTCGGGTACTGTGTCCCACTGCCTGGAACACCAGTATCACTCTTAAGGTAGGGCTCATGAGAGGTAATAAGTCTGTACAGGCTTGGCTGCTCAGTGCCTTTCAGCTGTCGGAGCAGTTTAACGTGGACATTTTAAGGTGGTGCTTTGATACTTCTGGTCATCTAACTTGTGCGCGTGTTTTTCCCTAGTGAGCATGACGTGGGTGAGGATGACATCTACGACTGTGTGCCGTGTGACGACGATGGGGATGACATCTATGAGGACATCATTAAGGTGGAAGTACGACAACCCATGGTTAGAACCCTTTTTATAATTAGGGATGTTTTTTTTGTTTTTTTTCTAATAAAGTATTGATGGTATATTACCTGTAAATCTTGGATCTTGGACCTGTAAGTCTGTGATGTGCATTGTCATTGTGTCTGGGGCCATCCTATAGTATTTGCATGAACTTATATCTCCAAACACACTTAGATGTTTCTTACATACAGTAACTGGTGATAAATTTGACGTTTGTCTCGCACTGCTTTGCCTTCCCCATGCTGCAGATCAGATACATGCAGGTGAGTGCCGCTGTGCTTGTGATTCACCCCGCTCTGTCAGCTAACTTCCTCCACCACTTCATTTAAAACAAACATAGCATCCCAAGAGAATTACCTGCCAATTAAGATTACTGACACGTGCATAGGGGAAAAGGAGACCCCATCTGGTTCAACGTCTGACTCGGGGCCCATTGGAGGCAAATTGTGACTTCAGCTCTGTGACTGCAGCGTTAACTGACATCAGCGAGGGCCGCCAGCTGCCACAGCGAGCCTCAAAGCATGTGACAAATAAACATTATCCCGGGGCTTTGAGCCCTGCTTCTGATTGCATGCTGGATTGAAGCCTGGACAGGACTTCTACATTGTTAGCCCCCGTTATTGTATTTTCACTGGTTATTAACAGCCGTGTCTGTCCCAGATGCCTTAGTTAGTTATTCTACAGTCGGGCAGCTCAAATCACACAGCATAGAAAATCTGTGTAGAAGTGAAACCTCTGTCTGGGTGGTTTTTTTTAATTTGGATGAATCTCTCATGCAGTATATTGTTCTTTCAAAGAAACATATATATATTTATATCGAAATGTTAGTACATGGAGACTTACTTAGACATCAGGTCTCATGAGAAATGCTTTATGTAGATAAGTTTGTATCTCTTCCCCATCCTCCACCACCCCCTCACAAGGCGCCTGCTTGCATGGCTATGACTTAAAAACCCTTGGTTCATTCATGGTTCATCTACATACACTTACATTGTCAGCCAGCCCACACACACGATGACACATCTCATTGGCTCGCACTCCTGTCATCACCGCCTCACTTTACTCTAGCCAGCAAATGCAGTCAGTCAGCGTGGGTGAACATTTTTATCTGCTTCAAGTTGATTTGGAAATCGGGTCTGCTTTAATTAAACACATTAAGCACATCGTGTTTCCTGACCATGTTGAAATACAGACTTATTAGATTTCTGGACAAATTCTTCTTTTTGTTCCAGCAGCTATTGGTTTCCATAAATTTTCAGAGGTTGTGAAAATCAACTAGCAAATCCAATGGATTTTATTCCAAGGACTCCGTGGAAAGCAGTATTGATAATGAGTAGATTATCCTGGTGAAATAAAGTAAAACAAACTCTTGAACATTGCTCGTGTAATTCATTATGGTTAACATCAAGTGTGCGTTCCTTTTTGTCAATGTTACATTACTGCATGGTAATGCAGTTTAACTAATTGATTGGAAAGGTCTGCTCTGCATTATCCCACACAATACAATTTGATATATTGCACAACTTAAGCAAGAGCGTGCTAATAGATTCAGAAATGAACATTAGCTTGAATCCATTTTTGTGAAATTCCTTGCATGATATAGATATTCTTTATGATAAAAAACAGTAACCACAAAGTAAAAAATGTTGACTTGGACTATATTGTAAATATCCAAAATTGCCCTGACTCATTTGTTTCCTACTCTCATGATAGAAAATGGGTATGACAGAAGATGACAAGAGAAATTGCTGCTTAGTGGAGATCCAGGAGACTGAAGCGAAGTACTACAAGACTTTGGAGGATATTGAGAAGGTGAGTGTGTGCTGCTGTACATTCCCACCAGATTTGAGTGTGTTGATGTATGTGCATCTTTACCCTGGCCCAAGCAATGTCGTGTCAGAGTTTCCTTTTGTCACTTCTTCATTGTTGGCGTCTCAGGCCTGCGGGCCGGGTCGCAGCATGGAAATGTCAGCTATTGGCAGTTTTATCGGGGAGCACAAATGTCACAGGAGCAGATCGATACAGTTGTTATTGGCTCAACCCCCACAGGAGACACCGATCCCTGGGGCTTTAGGTATAGACACACAAATCGCAAGGCGCAAGGACATATACGTGAACGCACACACAGTCAACAAGAGTTGAGAGAGTAAAACAAGTCGTAAACATCGTTACCTCACACTGGTATGTCGTTTGCCTGCCTAACACAGCCTCTTTATTTCTACCTGTGTAACTGTTGAATAACAGTAGTTGGTGATTACAGCAGCCGATCACAACTCTTTGAACACTGCTGCCAGCAAATGCCAACAAACTCAAGGTGCCCTGTAAAACAGCAAATTCTGTATGCTTAAAGAATCGCACACACACTCTCTCACACACACGCACCAGCTCTCGCAGTGTGATAATGAACCATTGTTGAAATCAGCGCTGCTAACACATCAGTTTCCGTGTTGACAGATTTTATTTGCGATTTGATGATGCGCCACAAATCACCCGCTCCGCTAATTTCATTAAACTAAATGTGCGTCCTGTGTTTCCTGCGTCAGACCAACACGAGACTAAATGAGAATAAATAACCTTCTTATGATCAGAGGACTCGTTAAGCTTAATTGAGTTGGGGTTAATAAAGCCCGTCATCTCTTCATTGCTTCTTTGTTGATCTATTTGTTATTATTATGATGATGGAATGTGACAAGCGTAAAACACCGTTAGAGAAACAGGTTTTTCTTCTGTGAGCACAAGTGCAGCACAGAGAACAGCTGTATAGTTTGTACCTATGGCAGGTACATTGTTAACTGCACACACCTTGCGAACAACAGTATGGAGACTGCATCTTTAAAAGCATAGCCTGACATTGATTTTCTTTGTTGCTGCAGTTAGGTTGCAGTTGTGCTGCCCTTTAAATACATTCTCACAGATCTGCTAAAAGCTTGGCCAGAGCTTTATTTTGTTTTACCAGTAGATTTTTACAAAAAACTGACAACTTTGAGTTGTTTTTTAAGAGGGACTTAACTCATATTTACTCTTGAAAGTTTTCACTGATTTGACTGTTTCACTGTTTCTCTTTAGAATTACATGATCCCATTGAAGCAAGTCTTGAGTCCACAGGACATGGAGGCGATCTTTGTCAATCTTGAGGTGAGTAATCGCTCAAGCAAAGAACATGATGTGTACGCAGCACGCCTGGATGTGTTACACACCAAGTGAATCATTCAAAATGTGTATGGTTGGCTGATTGAAAGACAGGATGTGTTGTATATGTATACGTAATGCAAAATTCATGGTTCGATATGCACTGTGATTTCTGTTTCATGGTTTAGTGTTTTCATCACCGTGGAGGACAGACAGAAGATTCCATTTTCTGTCATTTTCTTTTTGAAAAATGTAACTGTAATTCATTCTTGCTGTACAACTCGGCCATTGAATAGTTTACAAGAAGAGGAAAAAAAAGCTATTCTGTGCTAATTACTAAACTGTGAACACCTAAAGCAAGATTGTATCAAGGACTCTGAGCATAAACTTGAATCCCATGTTGAGTCCTGTGTTCTCTGCAAGTATCTTTGCACATCTTGAGCGATTAACACCCATGCAGCTCTGGTTGTAGCTTCAGTCTGGTCTTCACCATCGTGGGTAGAAAAACCTTAACTCAGACTGCTTTTAGCTCACTCCAGTTAGTGGCTTTGTCGTTAGACACAGTTAGAGACATTTTGGGATGTTGTTAATGAATTAGCACGTTTGATATAGTCCCGGTGTGTCAGAGATATAAATGTACTTCGCGAGTTTAACAAGCCCACCGCACACCTTCCAAACCTTCCACTGCTAGTGTTTCTGTAACCACAACACTCCAAAAAAAATTTTTAGATGATATTAGATGGTTACTGAGCTTCAGCTTTTCACATCCGTTTGACATAGCAATGTTGCCAGCTATACCGTTTTGGTTAACTTATTGTCAACGAATCCTATGATAACCCCAAAACAAATAATCACTTGATCTTACAAAAAAGTCTGATATGCCATAGATCTCCATTATTACAAAAATACATTATTGCCATAGTTTTGGCACAGGGTGACATATTCCTTCATTATGAACACAGTGATTGTGGGAAGTACAAATGTACTTTTTCACATGTTCCCTAGACTCTCCAATCATGTATGTCCACGAACTACTCTCTCAGTAGGTGATACATGTACACATTTAATGCTCAGTCAGTCTACATTCAACAACACCGAGCCCTGCATCCATGCTGCCTGCTTTCAGAAACAGAACTCCATCCACCTCCCCAGCCTCCCCCTGTAATAGAATTTAATATTTTGTTGTTGTTGTTGTTTTGTTCATGTTCATTATATGTTGTGTACCTCAGGCTCTGTCGGGGGGGGGGGGGGGGGTTGTGAGCTTAGGAACAGTCTGTTTAGAGTAGCCAGACTAAAATTGGAAACAAGATGTACGTCCTCAGTAGAACCCAATGTGTATAGCCATAATCATATGAATCATAGGGTCCTGTATGGGACGTTTCAGGGTGAATACATGTACCACTATACACCTAATGTACTGTAGATCCAATCTAAAGTATGTATAGATCTATCTATGTATGTACCTCTGTATAAAGGAAGAACTATGCATTAAAATGGATAGATTCTAACGTTTATTGTGCTGTTCACTCAGGATGTAATCAGAGTCCACTTTGCCCTCCTGCGAGCCATTGACCTGAACATGGTCAGTGGAGGAAGTGGGCTGGGGAAGATCTTCCTCGACTTCAAGGAAAGGTTAGTAACCTGAAAATGGTTCTATTATTTCTATGCACATGCACATGTTGGTCTTTTTTGTGTTATGCTGTGTACATAGAGTGTTAAAATCCACTTGTAGTTGAGAGGAAGCTGCCTTTTTATTTTCCTGGCCTTTCAAATTCAGGAGGCTGCATCAAGTTGAGTATCCACGGATCAGCCGGATGATTGCTGGGATTAGTGTTCAAAGAATAAATCAATTAAAACGAAACATGTTAGAGGAAAAAGCTGAGCGAGCATGTAACCAATTGTTCCCCATTCAACCAAAACCATTAGAGTAAATCCACTCAAGACTCCATTGACTTGTCACATTTGTATTCCTGCACAGTTATATTCTTTGCATTTGTAGTTCGCCGTCTCTTCTAAAATGCATTCTTCTTTCTCATCTAGTACATTTTGAAAATTAAATTTTTATAAAAAAAAGTTTTATTTTTTTTTAAAACACATAAAAAAAAAAATCCAAGTCTAGCAAGAATAGTTTACCCTGTTTCTGCGAAGGTATTGGAAATGAGTTGAAATATTCTTAATGCGCAGACAGATTGTTTCAATTGTTTTAAGGGTTTTAGGATTTTTATAGACAGGTGACTTCATAAGATGGCATGATGATAATTAAGAGCCTAAAGAAAGGAGATGGTTTTTAGGTGAGTTTTAAAGGTATCATTAGAGGGGGATCAATCACCTTTGTTTTTTTCTGGCTGCGTTGGATGGAGAGCAGTGATAGGTCACTTGGTCACATCTGACGGGTTGGGAGGTGGAATAGGGGATGAGCATGTGAGCGACGTAACCTGGAGGAAACTGCAGTGGTCGAGGCGAAAGGGAATTAAAGCGTGAACTATTATCTCCAAGCCTTTGACTGACAGATATGATTTTAATTTTGCAAGTGATCTAAGATGGTTGAAGCTAGTGCTGATAAGCGAGTTGATTTGATTATCAAATGTTAAACCGGAATCAAAGATAACACTGCAATTTTTTTGTGGGGACACAGAGGCCTGAGGGCACTGACTGGACTTGAGGAGTTGTCTGATCTGCCGAAGATTAGGACCTCACTTTTATTCTGGTATTAAACGCAGTGGACTGGGAAAGTGGAGGTTTATTGGCGAACAGGGTTTTCTCTTGGATCTCCAGGTTGGCCAGCTGCTGAGCAACGTGTGGATAATTTGCATCCCTAAGGGGGAGCAGAGATTTGAGCCTTCCTGCTGTGCCGAGTGTGGCTGCTTCATAATGGTAATGGTAATGACGGTGATGATAGGTTCTGGCCCTGGTCATGATTCCATACGCAGACATGGATATGCCACTCTCCTCGAATGATACAGCCATTACTGCTACAGTGAGCCACACAGTTCATGTGTATGTGTGTGTGTACCTGTTCTTGCATACAAAAGGATGTACTATATTCCTCTGCGCATTGATCTTGATAGCACACACCCTTTTTCCTTCCTCCTTATCCTTGAAACAGGTGAGTCACAGTATGTCTTTTAATCGACCTCAGTTTGCATAGGTAATAGTCTCATTGCGAGCCTCTTCCTTTAAGCCTAGAGGGCCATGTAATACAACGTTTGCATGCCACTAGAGACTTTATTCCTACTAATAGACAGAGGCAGGCACATACTCTCTCCCTCTATCTCATACGCATGCACACACTCCTACTGGATCTCCTTCCTTATTTAGCCCGTCAGACTCTCTGATCTGATTGAGCAGTGGTTGGAAATCTTCATCTGCACGCAAATCCCAGATAAGGTCAAACTAGCCAAAGGTCCTTGTTAAGTGGGAGGTTGTGACATAAAAGCTCAGAGGATGCGCATAGAGAGACAGAATCGGAGAAAAATACACATAGAGGGTTAAGCAGTACCATTTTCTTCTACAGTTCCGTCATTCACATTGTTTATTGAGTAAATTCAGCCTTTTTTTCTTTATTGTAGCCCAATTTATTTGGGTTTCTCTACACAAAAATCACTACAACTAAATCCATAATAAGACATTCTTTGTTGTTTTTTTAGGTGTGGGGTTCATACTGTCTCAAGTACTGCATGTATTGCATTGTAATTGTACCATAACAACACCTTATGGCCAAAAGGTACATCAACACCTGAAAGCTACACCCATATGTGAGCATTGACATTAATCTTCCAGTATTTAGAAGAAGATTAGAGACTCTATTCTTTTGGGAAGACTTTCCACAAGATTTCAAAACCTGGCTGCACTGATTTTCACATATAGTCTACCTGGTTGTTTCCAGTGGATTTAAACCGTCTATCTCTGACAGCAATATCTAACATTTACCTTCTATTCATAAACAAATTTGCTGATGACATCCCATTCATTGTTAATATTTACCTTTAGCGACATTCTCCAAAATTCAATGCCGGGTTATTTTAAGAAAATGGTTCATTAGATTTGCAGATCGTTGCGTCACAGGCTTTGACTCGCTGCATGTGATTGACATGTAGTCCTGCCTCATTATGAGCCACTGCGGTGTCTTGTCTCGCTGTGGCGATAAGCAACAGTGACCAGGGGATTTGGACTCACACAGCACCGCTTTCATCAGGCACCTTGGTCGGTCTTCTTGAGGACCTAGCTTGGCATAATTAATTTGGTTATCTATGCTTGTAAGTCCCTGTGACCTTTACAACAATGTGCTTGTATCTTTTTTTTTCTCACGTCGGTGCCAAAGATGAAAAGCCTTTTTTTTTCTATTTGTCAATGAACTAAATGCCATGCTGAAAATGTCACTTGTTTATCCTGACTACTTCTCAATTCTTAAACAGCCAGAAGAGTTCTGAATGGAAAAGTGCGCTCAGAGGAAGCTTTATAGACTAAAGTACCCTCTTGTTGATATGCTCATTTACGACATTCCCCAACTCATTTCCGGAGTAATCTGGCTCCCTGATATCCTTGCAGTGCCTAATCATGGCCGCACTATGAGCCTCTTTATTGGAGGTCTTTGCTCTACGTTCTCCTTCATTTGCTGTGTGCTGGATATGTTGAGTGGAGGTGAGGGGGTCCCAATGCCATGTGTCAGAGAATATTAGCTGGCTCCACAGCCTGTCACTTCTGGTTTGCTTGGAGATTTCCTCAGTTGCCTGGCCCGGCTTGCAGGGCGCCATGTCGGTGGGGGTGAAGGCCCAGGGCACAGTTACTGAAAATTGCATTTTCTGTGAAATAACATGCACGACAGCATCCTCATTATGAAATAGGCCAGACAGCAGGGCTATATCACGGCGCCGGAAATCATACAAACAGCACTTTTTTACTGCACCAGCAAACTCTCCCAAAGGAAACCGTCTAAAACAACTCTGCTGTTTAGAGGATTCTGTACTGCTTCTTCTTTTCCTTATCCTAGCGTCTTTTTGCTGTAGGTTTTATTTTTTATAAAAAAGAAAACTTGCCAGTTGGCTCTATTAGGAAAAAAAATGTCAGCATTTATTTGTAAGTTAATAGTTCAAACTTAAACATGCACACAGGTCCAGCAAAGGCAGGGAGAAAACTAGTTAACAGGGATGTAAACAATCATATTTGCTGTAAAAATTTCACGAGGCACCTTTAATGGGCCTACTCTGCTGATTCAGGGAGAGACTGGGGCAACTTTGTCTTTGTTGTCTCCTTCTTTTGTCAAGAAATCTTACCTGATTCATCTTACATTCATTTTTAGTAATGAGAGGAAAATCGACATGTGCTCAAATGCTTAAGAAGGCATACAACAATGTGACGAGCACAGTACTTACAGCAAACCAGGCGGCATTTGCATTCAAATCTAAATATGAGGGTTTGGCTGTTGTTGACTGTTTGAAAGCTGAATACTGTTTGTGATGTTTAGAGTGCTGCGATAATTCCTCCTTTGAAGCTTAAGATGTTCAAGGTTACTGAAGCTTTTTGGCTGATATGGAGCTTTATTAGCTTGGACTATCCAAATTAATATTTTCTATTCAATTAAGATAGTGAATTCAGGCATTTTTCCTCGTATATACAATATACTATTTTAGATTGCAAATATTCAAGCAGAAATACAAGGAGAAAACAAGAAATGAAGTGGCCAGACATGGTGTCTAGGGGGCTTATCACTGTGTTGTGGACTAAGTATGGATGACTGGGCCAAGTGTGGATGCATGCTGCAACGTGGTTGTGTGTCATTAACCCTTTTATTTCCCTGCCTGTCTCATTGAAGAGGACAAAGCCTCTGACTAGCCTCTCAAGTCTCACACAGAAGGCTGTTTTAAAAATATAAATATATAATCTAAAGTACAAAACAATATATTATTTTTCATACATGCAGCGCTTTTCAACTTGCCTTTCTTAGACGGTGAAGACACAACTAATCCGATAAGCAAATAGCAGAGATACAGATACACCGACCCTGTTACACATGTCAGCATCCATGGAATACCTTGAAAAAATAAGTGCTCTTATGATAATAAATCCTTTAGAGTTCGCAGAATGTAAATTAGTGGCCTAGCTATAATGTTTTGGATTAATACCTGGTTGGGAATAATACCAAAAGAACACATTCCTTTGACATATACCCGCCATACAAAGCTGTTGTGGCAAACATTTTTATGAAACTGTTGCCTATTTACCCATCCGGCTGACACGTAGCGACGTTAGCGTTTATTTAGAGTTGTGTTTGCAACCTGATAAATTTAGGTTTCCAGTATATCCTGACAACAACATCTGGCCCTTTAACTGCTAAATGTTCCACTTTCTTTCACCAGCTAATGGCAAACTTTGTCTGTGCGTAATGTGTGGACCAGCTGCTGCTGCAAACAAGGATGATGGGAGCGTTGAGAGTGTACCATACAATATGCTGTTAAAACCAAAACTGTAACCTTTCAACTTCAGAAAGTGAGCCCTGAGGCAGGGGAGAACGAGTTGCTTGCTCCAGGCATACACTGGGAAACATGAAAAGTCACACATTTACAACCACACACACACTCACACAGTAAAGGGTGGCCTTCTTTTAAACTTCGGCCAGATGAGAAAACAAATCT